CACACACAGACACACACACACAGTCAACCTCTCAAATCAATATGCATTTTCTAAATTGCGTAGATGTTAAAAACACAAAAGAGAGCCTGTGGATGATCGCAATCGTATTGGGACACGAATGCCAAGCGTTTTCCAATTCGGCTTTAAATGAGTCTAAATCTCAAATTATACCACAAGAATTGAGAGCAGGGAACTTGAAAATTTCTTTCTTACGACATAAATTATGAGTTTTGGATTTAGTTTACCACTAAACAACTTCGAATCAGTCCCCAAATTTCACAGCCCCCAATTTGAAGTTAAAAGGTTGTACATATCAGCCTAGCAAAGCCATACGCCCTAAAATCCCAAAGATGCAGGATGGGTGAAAAAAAAAAACAGCGAAGGTGGTAAATCCATCTCCTACTTTGAATGAATTATCATATTCAGTGTCGCAGATGGGCTGTGGGCACACTATTTTAGAGAATACTTTTCACAAACTTATTAAATTTCGCCAAAAAACAAATTTTCACGGTTGATCACATCCTGCAGCATGATGGAGGAGATTTGAACAAATGATAAAACCAACTTGTAAACGCATAAAAAACAAACTGTACATTTTGAACATGTCGTTCATGCATATTCACCATTAACAACATTTTGCCGCACTGTTTTACGAATGCCGCCGTCGCTAAACGTGAAGCAAGTGATCATTTTATTGTGTCCCTGGTATCGACGCACTACCTGCAAAAAAGGATGCTTTCTTTCAGATGCATGGAATTGAATGGTTGATAATAAGCTACTTTCAGAAGAAATTCTGAGCCGAACTTCATCGTTCGTTCGCTCATACATACATGGAAGTTTCAAGTTTTTCGGCTGAATTACCTCTCCGGTTTCAAGATTCCACAGTCTTAGCTGGTAACCCGAAGCGGTAAAAAGATATTTCGCGTCACATGTGAAAGCGCAATCCCAAATCCATTTCTGTTCCATCTGAAGATCAATGAGAGGAAGTAAAGCAAATTCACAGTGTCTTATCCACTACCTATCATTGTCACTGAGTGTTAGACAGAGTAACATATTTGAATTTTCAGTCCCTAAAATTAACAGCAAGTCGTAAATCATGTCTATAGTGACTAATTGCTGGAAAAGTGGAAAAACGAATAACGGAGAGATTCTGTTTTCATCTAATAATGTATGCTGCTACTTTCTTGAAAATTATATTATCCATAACCGAGTGATTTTAACTTTTAATATATCACTTTCAAAATATTTGGCACGCGGTGTGTTTCAAGGGACAATTTTTGAACCGTTTTTGGCAGCCTACCAGAAGTAGTTTTTAATATGACATTTCAGATTTTAGCAGCAGGAACAACTGGTTTGTAGAGAATGTGAAACTAAAAAAGACTGTATAAATATCAATTTTCTGGACAGAAAATCTTAAAATCTCTAAAAAAGCAAGAGAAGAGTAATTCGCCCCTCATCTCGGCAAAAACAAAGTTTGATTGTTTATCAAAAATAAATAACCCTATCTGAATGAGTAGTTCTGTGCATATCCGAAGTAACATCAATAGAATTCATGGGCATTGATGTGTTTGCAGTGTCCCACAAACGTACAAAGCCGTCAGCGCCAGTTGTTGCAAAACACTTGTTATCCGGTGAAAAATGACACTTTAGTGCGTATTTTGTGTGGGCAGACACTCTTGATTTTTCTTGCCTGAAAATGACCGAAATGAAACTTTGTTGTTGCAAAATACCGCCGATTTCTAGATAAAACAGGGTGGGTGAATAATAAGATATAAATGAAGGGAAGTGTCGACACGCGACCTGAGACTAACGGTGGACAAGACTACTACCGGTAAGAAGGAAGAAATGAGGTTGCAGTGGTATGTGAATGCGCCACGTACAGGAATGAGATTGAAGATGCCACTCATAGCACGAATTCTAAGAAGAAGCATAGCAGTAAAGAGGGTACATGTACAAAGTCAGATCTAAATCCCCTCTGTATTTTGCTCTCAATGAGAGGCGGAGGCACCGCACAGAGGTAGCAAAAGATGCTCAAAGTATCACTGGAAAGGCTGGGATTTCAAAGGCATTGTTTGCAAAACAAGATGGTCATTTGCGTCTACTAAAAAAGTAGGAGCTTACAGCATAAGCGCACTTCTGCAGTTTGCAGGAGATATAAACGTTGATAACGTCCATACAATAACTTTTCCTTTATTTGTCACACCGATCAGTGTATCACCAGCTCTGTTGATGTCAACATAAGTGACATGTTCGAAGAGATCGAGGTCTAGGTTGTGGAATGCTTCGCTGCTATCGCATCGCAGATCCCAGAAGTAGATCGATCCAAAAGTGTCCGTTATAATGAGCACAACCTGATTCGGGTGTGCAACTACACAATTCACTGGAGCGTTGGTCTAAAAATGAAAATGCAGCACGTTAAAACAATACATGTTACATTCGAGCATTTTGCAAAACAGTTGCACTTTTGAGCTAAAAGACAGAATACTAAGACAAATTATCAGTATGGAAGGCTACATTCCAACAATTCGAAATTTCAAATGCAATAGATTTTGCGCTTCAAAATAAAATTTCGTAACTATTTTTTTTTTTTATAATAAACATTACGGACGCGATAATCGGCTAGATCATTCTGCAAGCCTGCATGGAGATGCCAAGACGCGCCAAGCTTTGAGTCGACAACATTATCAATCAGAAAGAAAGAAGGGCCATACAATTCACTGCTCATTAAATCAACAAATTTTGTCACGTTAATTAGGATGTAAAGAACTGATTACTTGCAATACACGACGACAATCGAAATTTGCGCGAAAATCCCACAGTTTTGCCGTGCAATCTTCAGCACCCGAGAAAACCCATCTATTTCGATCGTCGAAACCTACCGCTGTCACATTTTTGAGTGCTGCGCCGGTGGCGATACTCGCTGGAGGTGATGTCTAAAAATTA